AGAATTCGCCAAGTCATTGTTTCCGCGACCTCATTCGTAGTCCCGCTTCTCAAGAGTTGCAAGTTATGTATCGATACCCGCACGGGGCGTGAAATCGAAATCGTGATGTGAGAAGGTTAGCTCGACCCCGCTTCCCGTGTCTGTATGTGTGCGTGTGTGTGTGTGTGTGGGTTCGTGTGTGTATAAATCCGAGAGAGAGGCGGCTGGCAGTTCAGAATACGTGGCAGCTCTTCTCTGTGCGAAGCCTTCTCAGCTGACTGGCATTGGCGGCTCGTTTGATTTCAGGTAGAGACGGTAGCAGACTATGGAGAAAGTGAAATAAGTTTAATAACTATGAGTGCGCGGCAGTGATAATTAAATTATTTTAGTCATAGTGGTTTAACTTCTTTCTATAATTTCTCTTTTGGTTCGCTGGCAGGAACCATAACTTACTTGTCTCACGGAAGCGTGTTGTTTTGTTTTATTAAAGATATAATTTTGTTTTGACCCGTTTTACCGAAGTGTGATGTTATTTTATTAAGTTATCATTTCATTTTATTATGATTTGTTTTCCGGAAGCGTGATGTTATTTTATAAAGTAATCATTTTATTTTGACCCGTTTTACCGAAGTGTTAAGTTATTTTATAAAGTTATCATTTAATGTTGTTATGGTTTGTTTCTCGGAAGCGTGTTGTTATTTTATAAAGTTATCATATTACTTTGACTCTTTACGTTTTACTTTATTGCGGTTCCGTGTTGCTATGTCATTATAAAGTCATCATTTCCATGTAGGCCCTAACTCTTGTTTCGAAAAAGAGTTGTCATTTCATAAAGTTATTATTGAACTCTAACTCGTTTTATACTATATACTATTAACTTGTATAAAACCATCGTGTTGTTATTTCATAGAGTTATATTTTCAAAACTAAATGTATTATATATACATATAACGGGAGCGTGCTGTTATTTATTATAATATTTGTTTTTTCTTGTTTTGACCTTTTTTCTTAATCTTGTTTTTCGCGAGGCCTCGAGTGGACTTGAGTAATGCGGTAACCTTATACAGGTGGTCCTCTTGTACAATATTATCATAACGTAGAATTGAAAAGAAAGTAAGAGGGGGGGTGATAAGTGGTCGGTCATACAGTTTAGTGCCGTGTACAGGTGGTCGTAGAAGCAGGTTGAACTGTAGGTATTTAATGGAAAAAAAACAGCTATTGAAGAACGCGAGCGGTAAATAGAACGACGCGCATTTAT